TGGGTCTGGCTGCGCAAGCCCGACAGGGCTGCGCTGAGCAGGGAGGGAAGAGCACTGTGACTACCCAAGAGACATTTGTTTTATGTGTACATCGTCCCAAAGCTCCAATTCCAATTTAAACAGCATCCATGGATTCTTTCCAGCCAGAGAAGTAAGGTGCTAAAGTTTTTTTTTTTTTTTACAAAAGAACAAGCTAATATATTTGCTTCACAATATTCCAGCAGAATTAAAGGGGGTGGGGTGGGTGGGTGGAGAGTAAAGGGAGAGATGAAGCAAGATAAAGAAGTGATCAATGTTTAAGCTGATTGACAGTACGTGGGGTTCACTATACGACTCTTTCTGCTTTTGTGTATGTTAAACATTTTCTGTAGTAATTTTTTTAATCCACAAAAGTACTAGGAATTTCCATGAAGTACAGCTCCTTAAACCCAGGCTTAAAAGGATGGTGTCAGTTACTGACACCTCTGCAAAGGGGCCGGCCTGCCAGCTCACCCCTCATCCTTCAGGTACTCTACCCTCCAGCCAACTGGGATGCCAACTGAGGTGTGGGTCACCTGACCTGGACTTTCCTGCCTCCTTGCCTTTGCCTGTGCTATTTCTCTCTGCCTGGATGCCCCCTTTCCTTCCACCCCCACTCCGACGATCAAAATCCAACCCATGTAAGGCCTAGATCAAAGGTATCCCCCTTTGTTAAGTCTCTAATTACCGCATATGGAAGTAATCTCTTCCTCCTTTGTACTCCAGAACTTTGCTGGTGCTCTCTTGGGGCACAGCTCACTGAGTGATGATAACAATCATGAGAACAAGAAGAATCATAATAATAGCAGCTAATGGGTACTGAATGTTACTATGTATCAGGCACTTTAAATATGTCATCACATTCAATCCTTACAATATCCTCAGAGGTTATTACCATTTATTAGCACATTTAACAGATGAAGAGCTGAAGCTCAGAGCGGTCCATGGGGTGACACAGAGATCCCATGTGATGTGATGGCAGTTGTGTCACCATAAATTTTAAGCCTCTGTGCCCACGATCCGTAAGTCATATGACCAGAGTGAGGAGATGTAAATTAAAGTCTAGCTGGGGCAAAATTCTAACTTTCAGAAAGACCCGAAATTCTGCGTTCCTGATACTCTAATTCTGTCTTTCTACTGAACTGTAAATTCCTTCAGGGAAGAGGCTCTTTTTGTATTTTGTGTGCCCCACAAGCACTGTCTGGTTTAGTGCCTTATACATAAAAGATGCTCAGTAACACCTTGCTAACCGAACATGGTATTACTACAGAGCAGTTCCGATGAAGGACTATGCCCGGTTCTTTTAATTTACCTATCTGACTGCCCAAGGAAATGAAATGGGCAAATCCGCCCACAGAGCTGCTGAAGCATGTCTCCTCCCCACCATCTCCGTTCAGAAGGCCACAAAACTAAAATAGTTTTCATCTTCTCTCTACACTGGCACTGTAAATGGCCAGAAAGAATTCTTCTCCAATGCTATTTTTATTTTGTCTTCCAGCTGTGGGCTCCCTCGCCCTCCCTCTGCAAGACCCTGATCCCTAACAGCCTCAGGAAAAACCAAAGGGAGTGGGACTTTATCTAGATAATGACCTTGGAATCTGGAGCTGAGGGAGACAGGCTGATTTCCTTTCCCACCCCCAAGTTTCCTTTCCCTTATTTCCCCTTTCAGACTTCTAACCCTGCGTTCTTTCCAACCAAATTACACTGCATCGTTGCTGCTCTTCTTTAACTATATTTTGACCTTCTTCTTGAATGCAGCGATGTTCTCTGGATTGGCCCTGAGAACATACGGGGAATAGGCTCAGTTGCCTTCAGTTCCTTCCCCAAAACCCTTTCAACATTCCTCTTCCAGCTACAGGTCTTCTCCTTCCAAGGACCCCGCTGATGCCCTGCTTCTGCAATGTCTTACTCCCAGCTGGCTTTCAAGAACTGAGAAGGTACTGGCTGATGAGAAGGTGTGAGCTCATAATATGATTAAAGTCATCCTGTCCAACTTCCACTATCAATATGAGCATTTTAATAGAGGAAATGAGGAGGCCCAACAGGCCCAAAATAATGAGGCAATAATGGTAAAGGGACCAGCAATGGAGTTGAAATTTGGGGCAAAGGTTAGTCACCATGGCTGGCTCTAAATCTTCCCTGTCTGGGCTCCCACATGTCATGTTGTTGTGGTGTTAATGTGAGGTGACTTTCCTACAGTTTCTTGTATTGAGAGTTATGTGCCTTGGTCATAAATTTAGATATGTCAGAAAAATACCCTGGTGTGTGTGGGTGTGTGTGTGTGCGCGCACATGTGTGTAAACACCTATCTATGAAGAGGTAGACGGGGTCACACTGAATTGTGACATATCATACAACATACATAGTAATCAAGCTTTATCTAATGTCATTCATCTTGACAGCCTTGCATTTTCAAAATTAATAAAGAGCATAAGGGAGCTGCTGCACAATCACCGACCGTGGAATCTTGGCCACCGAACTACAGAGTCATCTGTGTTGTGCATTAAGTGTGAAGGCACACATCACAGTTTGGGATTTAAATGGAAAAATCAATACCCTACAGGAAATCTACAGTTGCATAGCAGGTTTTTCTATCAGCCAATGCTTTCTTTGTTCAGTGCCTTCTGATGACAAATACTTGTGTATTCCAGGCATCGATTTTACTTTGCTTTTGTTTAAGCTCCTTAATATTCCTACCTCTTCCGAGAAGCAGAGGCTGGGGGTGTGGGGGGAAGACAGAGACAATCAATGGTCAATAACAGAGTCCGAGGCTACCTGGCCAGGGCACCTTCTGTCAGCACCTGTGGCCCAGGGGGTTAGCCTTCCAGCCATGAGCTCCTCATCGCCTAGGATGTGACCTGGAAAGTGACCTGTGCCCTCCATGCTTTCTTCCAAGAGCCACTGGTCCCCTCCCCCCAGGGCCCCCACCCCCAGGGCTCCCTCACTGCTCTTGCTGCCGTGAACTACGTAAGATGGCAGAACCGCCCCTAAGCTAAGAAAGCAGTCTGGAGAGAGCGTGCAATCTTTTCTCATGGATTCCTTAAAAATCTGCTCCAAGCTGCACTAAGAAAACTCCAAGGACTTCCCATTTCTCTCTCAATAATGAACAGGTCTCTTTCACAGACAAGCAGAACTTCTCAGGGCTTCGTAACCAGCCAAGCACCACTGCTGTTCTTGCAGCTGAAAAAAATTAAGTTTCTGCTTGAAGAAATAAGCTCACATTTTTTCTCTTTATTCTCCTTTTTCTTTTATCGTTTGCTGACCAAAAATAAAACGTTTCTAACAGTGGCTTAGAAGAACTAAATTTGTACCAATCTTTCAAAACTACTGCCAACACAATTTGGTGTTTAAACACAGCAAGGACTAAATATATATTTTCTCTAAAGATAGCTGGAGAAGACGTTCAATATATGGTTTATTTCCTCTAGTAGAAACTGACCACAGCCAAGACTCAAGCACATTCATTTTTCTAGTAAATAGAAAAAATAAAATATTGCATATTATGTTTAACAATTTCTCCAAAAAGTAGTAAGCAACTCCCCAAAGCATTTTGATACAAAAACAAAGCCCAAATGGCCCCTCTGGTCTTCTGCCGGATAACCATAGTTATGGGGTGAAACGTTAGAACAGAACCAAATGAAAAGGGTTTCTCCCCAGGAGGCAATGCTCACAGACCTGGAAGCTTAGGAGCCCTGAGATAAAAACGTAAGGTGAGTTACATTTTCAGGGGAAAAAACTGCATCTCCGAGCCAGGAACGGCCTGCGGATTGGCTGGTCACGGACTCCACACCCAGAAGGAGTGGAGCTGTTGCAACCACGCAGGCAGTGGAGCTACGAGGGCAGGCTCCTGCTGTCCACCAGCATCTAACTGCGCAGCTAGAATGAGTAAAAAATGTATTTTTCTCCCTTCTTTGGACACTTTGTTTTTAATGAATACTTCATATCAGAGCTAAGTCCAAACACCGGTGCATGTGGGATTTCCTAACGCTGAGACCTGGCAGGGCTGCTCGGTCTTCCGCCAAAAACTAAACAGAAATGAGACTACCTCAAAACGTTAACAACCAAGCATCCTCATTCTCTTTCAGTGTTCGCATTTAGTTGGAGCAAACGTTTTTGCTTTAATGCAACTGAAAAGAAAAGAACATTTAGGGACAACATAGCTAGATCCCTCATAAAGCTTCATTTTCCAAAGCACTGTTTGAATCTCTAAATACATGACAATTCATTCTCTGTTTACTTTAGGTAAACAGAAAATGCATTGCGGAGCACTCATTTTCAAAAGCTAATCAAGAACATTAGGTCCCAGCAGATTCATTTAATAGAAATATAATAGGCATTCCTGCTTGCTTTTCATCTTGTCTCGCTGTAAATGCTAAAATGAACAGCAAATTAACCCTGCGCTGGAACAGAGTCCCTGTCACAGCTGATACCCTCCCTCTCACGACTTGTAAACATCCCCGCATCCTGTCGCTGCTTTGACTTCTCCTTAGGAGAGACGCAAGTGCCTGATTGAGTTTGGCAAGACAGCGTAGGAATACTTGAATTCTAAAGGGAGTACTGCGTGTCAGCTCTGCTATCTTTCCTAGCAGAACAAAACATTACCATGTTGTGTCCTAAAACAGTGCACAATTAGGAGGGTGGGGGCGGGATTGTTTTTTTTTTTTCCAAGCTACACGTATCAACTGTATTTCTCTGTATTTTTAACTTTATTAGCCATTCTCCAAGTGGCTGCTTATAAACTACTATACAAAACAAGCTAATCAAGACAGGCCATCCAAGCTCTATAATCAGATATAAAAGATTTGCAAACAATTTGAGATCTTATCATTAATATTCAGTGATACCAGAATTAGCATTTAGAACTCTATACAGATAAACTATAATACTTCATAAATTATGTAATAATGAACAAACCCTTTCAAAAACTCTTTTCACTGTGCTAAAGTAACATTCTAGACTTGTTGTAAGTATATTATTCTTACAAGTAGTTCGCAGTTATTCTTGAAGGCAAGCCTTGGAGTTTCCTTAGCATAGTGCTGCTGGGGGAAATTTTCAGCATGTCCATCTTCATCTCTAGCCTGAAGGGAAATATAATGGCCTATTTAGGGACTTACAAATAATGGAAGAAAAAAAAAGCTAAAAGCATAACAGCTCAGATCATTAAACAAACGGGAATCCAGAAATAACAACATTATTAAGAAGTTTGTTTAAATACGCAGTACGCCTTTTAGATATCAAAATTTGGGATTTATTTTTCTTTACATAGTTTAGTTTGACCATGCAAATTCATTGTGGTGTAATATTTAACGTCTTAAATATTCAGCAAACCAAAATAAAATAACTTTTGTTGGAAATTACCACCACTTTAGTCTTCCAGCCACTTTGGTTGTACATTTAGGATTCTATGACATACATACGTGTTTAAACTTTTTGGCATGCTTAAGCAGTTTCTAGATAATGCACTGTTTAAAAATTCTAATAGCAAGGCCATAAGAAAAGCAATTTGCATAGTTATATTTTGCATTGTAATACTATCAGAGATCAGCTGATTCCCCTCGATTTTAAAATAAAAATGTGAAAGGAGCAATAGTCTAGTAAGAACAGTGATTCTTCAATGAAATGCAGTAAGGAAAAAATAGATTTAATTAAGAAGCTGCATTAAAAGTTACTGGTTGTTTTGATCTACACTGTTAATTAAGAAAACTGAAATTTAAATGGAGACATTAACAGAACCCAACGGCAATACCGCTTGCATATAGTCTTCTCTCATCTCCACGGGTGTCGGGTGTGGAGTTGGAGAGAAGGAGAGGTAGGTGAAAGGAGGCGTGTCTGCAGCGCACTCATTAAATCATTCATTTGGGCGACACTTGCACTCCGCTCTGCTCTCATCTCATCTCAGCCCTCACTGCACTCTCCTTCCTGGCCTCCTGAAATTCACAGCTGAGCTGTCTCCCTCGCATATGGCTTGCATGTAATTATGCATATTCCATTTTGCACTGCATTAAAATGATGAGCTCCTGGCTCCCTGCCAGCTGATTTTAAAAAGCCTGAGTGAAGTAGGAAAAAGGAGAGAAACACAGGGAGAGCCGCACAGGAAGCAGCAGGTAGTTCTGTCTGCTGTCTCTTTAGATAAAATGTATGTCTGGCACCCAGGGAACAGCTGAGAACTACCTGTTGTGATGTATGGATCGAGGCGGAGGACACAATGAGCACGCGCGTCGGTGGCACAGCGATGACAGCGCTGATGTATTGTTTCTCCTCTAATGGGGTGAGATCTGCCCGCTGACAAGCATCACTCAGAGCTCCTCGGCCGGACTGGGGATTGTCATGTTAGAGAGGGATCCATGTTGGGCATATTCTAGAACGTACAGCTTGTTTTTAATAAAGGCTTCTGCTACTTACTGCAGGGAGGGAACTGGATTCAATTTGGAAGTGGAATGTCACAGGCAGTCATATTTGGGTTTCAAGAAGTTGGTGGGAGGGGAGAAGAGATTGCTTTGTTTTGGTCTTTGAGATTTATCAATATCTCTGGGATTTAGCGTGTTTTTTTTTTTTTACTGTACCCTCTACCACCACCAAATCAGTGTAAAACAAAAACACAGTTGTAAGATTGGACTATGTGTGACAGAAAAGAGTGTAAGCGTTGTTCGTGTCCAGTGGTTGTCTAGGCATTGAAGGCAGTGATGTTTCTTCTCACTGCATCTGTCCTAGTCTGCAGCCCCACTGGGGTCTCAGTTAGTCTAGTCTTGCGTGGACCTGTTTTAAAGTGGAGTGTACAAATAAAAGGGCAGCTGAGAAGGCAGTGAGATGCCAATGGGCAGGGGTGATGGTAGACTCTTCGTAACGATCCTAAGCCACTCTGTGAGGTATAGGTCTTTCGAAGGCTGGGACAGTACCTACTTTATCTCTCTGCCTCTGCCATTCCCAAGGGCCTTATTTTTAGTTGGTACTTAACGAACATTTAAGTGATGGAAAAAAAAACATAAAAGGATTGTAACTAGACCCTACCATAAACAACTCTGTAGAAAATGCCACCTCGAAATATGCTAAACTTGGTGGGAGGTTTATTATATTCCTGATGCACTATGATACATATGCTTGAAAACACACTCTGCATATAGTTTACAAGGGCTACTATTTACATATGTATGTCTATATTCAATATATATGTATCTTGTGTATAAATATTCATAAGGTGGAATATGTTTATTATGCATGTACTATCTACACACATTCATACACACCAGATGCCTGGGGATATTTTCAACATTAGTGGAAAAATACATTCATTCCATTTACATGTAAGGTGCTCACAGTGCTTTTTATGTTTTTAAAGGACAAAACAAGTCTACGACTTGAATGTGCTTCCTCAAACAGGCTACAGATTTCATATAAAGCCTCATAACTTATGCGGCTAAATAAAGCAGCAGTGTGAGAGAAACCAGAGGGGAACTGGGGTGAATGCAAGTGGAGAGAGAAAGTCAGAAACTTGACTCTTTCCTGAGGCATATGTTAGCCTCTGCAGCAAACTCCCATGGCCCTGGGCACGGTCCACCTCTGACAATCACCCTGATTCCAGAGTGGAAGGAACTCCACCCTCCAACCATTTGCTGCGTTTCGGCCACCTGCCTGGGAGGCGATCCCCCTCCCCTGTGGGTGCGCACACACGCACTCACGCACCTGTCACCAAAGCGATCCCCTTTGCATTCTGAAGTTTTTTAAGGAAACATTTTCAATTATTCTTACCAGACTAAATTAAAAGAATTGCATTCATCTAAGGCAGTAGTTCTTTATTCTGGCTGCATTTTAGAATCATCTCGGGTGATTTTTTTTCTAACACATTGGTGCCTGACCTCCCTTCTCCCTCACCTTCCCAAGATCCTGATTTAATTGGTCCAGGGTGAGGCTTGAAAATGAATGGGGGTTTTTTGTTTTGTTTTGTTTTGTTTTGTTTTGTTTTGTTTTGTTTTTTAAAAAGCTCTCAGGTGATCATAACGTTCAGGTAGTGCTGAGAACCACTGATCTAGGAAGCCTGCCTACTGGTACCAAGAGGAGGCTCCTGGCAGAGCTGGCAGAACAGGCTCTAACCACATCCCCGGAATGAACTGCAGCGGTGGGAGGACAAAGGCTCCGGCCCCTGGGGTGGATCTCACCCTAAAGATTCAAGAGAGTACTTGACTGGCTACTTGTGGGCAAAAAATTCTCTCCATTTCCTTTTCAGTTTCTGATGTATTAAATAATCTTCGAAGAACTACTAGACACTTCTTAAAAGGCCTTCCTAAACCTCTCTAACCAAGTCGAATACCTCCACTCTGCCCTCTCTCCGACCACACCCAGCTGCACCCTTCCACTGGCTGGCGTGACATCTGCCTCCTCCGCCAGACTAGGAGCTTCCTGGGGCAGGATGGTGTCTGGGGCTGGGCCACCTCCTGATGCACGGCAAGTGCTCTGCAGGCAGGGGCTCCATTATCATCCCACAGCAGCTTGGCCACAGTGTTAGACAAAATCCACACACTCCCTTACCCTACGTGTCCATTCACTTTAGAACATTTTATAACCTGATACACTGAAGCTAGTGTATCAGGTTATAAAATTCCACATCTGCCCAATTTGGGGAGGCAGACAATAGCATATCAAGGTGTGGGCAGGACAGAAGGAGCTGACAACCTCTGCAGGGAGGAGTGTTTGAACCCTAAAGATGTTCAGGATCACTGGTCGTGGTAATAATATAAAGCAGACCGACGTTCAACTGGTTTTATTATTGTTCTTAAACTCTCAACAGACACTGCTTCTCTAATTGCCCATCTCAGGCCAACCACCCCACTGCCAGCTCTTGGTACCCACAGGGGCCCAGAGACCTGTGTTGATGTCTGACTTTGTTCTGGAATGACCAGTTCTGACAGAAGGAATGTCAAGACACATCATAATGAACTAACTCTCTCCATGTGTCTTATTCTTAACAGCTTTATTCTGACTGATACATTAGACATTTAGGACAACCATGGGAAAAAGCAAATGGGAAACTACCGTTTTGCATTTGACTACAAATGTGATTGTTGGACCAAAGGTGCCTTTGTGATCTTACTTCTGTCATAAAATAGAAGTAAAAAATAAAATCTTTCAATTAAATTGCAAGGGCCTTTCCCTGTCTTGCTGATAGTCATGTGTCCATTCTCACGGCGTGCCTGGCATTTGAATAACATTAGATTATGTGGGAAACTTAGACTGATTGTCTCTCTACTTTAAAAATCTCTGGCTTAACCAGACTTTGTGTTCACCTCTCTTTCCCTACAAATCATCACTAATCCACTTTTCTTTTTTTATTCTTACCTACACCAAACTTACATACAGCGAGATCAATATTCTTCTCTGGGAGACTCTTAGAAAATGTGGAATCTTCTAATGATGGCTCCACTGACCTACCCAGGAAAAGTGAGTTGTTTCTGACCCAGTGAAAGAGGCTACCACTGCCGCCATTTAAATACAAAGGTAGTTATGTTCATAGTTAACGCCTCCCTGCAATGAATGGGAGTCGAGCCCTCTGTGTCACTGCGATTCCAGGATTTCTTTTGGAAACAAGAAGAGGTTCTGCCTGGAACCAGAGCTGGGGAGAGCTCTGCAGAGCTTCCGGACTTAGCTCTCCAAGGCTGCAGCAGATGCAGCACATGCCAGCTCACACATGCGGTGTCGTTACCAGACTCGGGAACGTCCAAATAGTGCATCTCAACATTGTAGGAATAAGTTTAGCGATGACTAGTTGTAGGGAAAATATTATATTTTATAAATAATTTTTGAACCGAAAGTAATAGGATTTCTTCTCCAAATTTCAAGATAAAAGCAGAAGACACTGCTTCCAAAAACTCTTAGCAATTCATTTTACCACGTCCCATTTCTGGTCTGTCCTTCCTCTGTCAAATGCCTGCGCCATTCTCTCAAGGAAGCACAGAGAGGACTAAATGGCAGCTGTCAGGTGCAGCCTTTCGGTGTGTGGTGAACTTGACGTGAGGTCAGCCCACTTTCTCCGCCCCTCAGTGAAGTTCCCTGGGCTGCAGTCACACACCCTACAGAGTAGATCCCG